TCACCATTCCAGAAGAAAGAAGTTCTCAACCCAAAGGAACTGAAGAGGAAGAGAAACAGGATGAGGAAGAAGAAGTCCCCAGCCAGTTCTCTGACCTCAACATGTAGGATGAGCCCATGAGCCATATGTGGGAAGGCAGGACTGATGGCACCCCATGACCCATGCCCAGGCCTGAGCTCACCCCCAGCCTTCCCTCCCTCCCACACAGGCTCTCCTACTTAGATGAGCAAGCAGGGACTCCCCTGCACCCCATCCTCTTGCCACCTCACAGACCCCAGAGATATGTGGGCGGGCACCGTGTGCCACACCGCCGTCTGCTGCCCCCGACACCTGCAGGTAAGAGCAAGCATGGGTCCTGGCGACCCCCAAGGACCAGCAGGGCAGAGGATTGGGGAGGCAGTGACATTCCTCTTTTCCCCTGGCACCCCTACCCACCACCTGCAGGTCGGAAGCCCTCCTTCACAATTCAATGTCTGCGGCGCCAGAGCAGTTGTGAAGATTTACCCATCCCAGGCACCTATCATCGTGGGCGTAATTCAGGGCTCAGCAGGACACAGGTGAGGCAGGGGACAGGGTGGGAGCAGCATAGACTGAATTTATCGGACACTCTACATGCTAGGCCCTTCTGAGAAACGGGGCACATATAAATTACACAATCCTCACCGTACCTGTGAGGTGGTACTGTTATTAGCCTCAGTTTATAAATGAGAAAACTGACTCCCAGAGAAGCTTATCCCAGATCATACAGCTAGTAAGTGGCAGAGCTGAGATTTAAACCCAGGTCTTCTGTGCTCTTAAATAAACTCAAGTCTGAGTTATACACATTCATTTTGACTCCAGCTGTGTTTGGGGGTAAGAGATAGGTACAGGAGTGAGTTCTATACTCTTACACCCCACCCATCAATCACTGTCTCTCTCATGTTTATTCTGGTCCAGGGTTCCTGGGCAACCCCTCCTCAGCGAGGTCGGCTCCTGTATGCCCCACTGTTATTGGTGGAAGAGGGTACAGCAGGGGAAGGATACCTCGGCAAATCCAGCGGTCCACTGCGCACCTTCACCTGTCTGCACGTGCCTGGAACCCACTCAGACCCAAGCCATGTCAAGAGGGGCAGTGCCGACAGCTTGGTGGAAGCTGTGAGTCCAGAAGGGGTGTAGGCAAGAGGAATGGGGGAGGAAAGAAAGGAGGAGTTTCGGAAGGAGGGAAAAGGGGTCTCCAGTCTCTATGCTGTGCATGTAGCTATCCCTTTGCTGTGCAACTTCTGCTCAGCATGATGTGTGCACCATTATCCTCCAAGACTTACCTGCACACCCTCATAGGTAAATCATTTATCCACACTGATTCCTCTGTGCACGCTGCTTCCACTCCATGCTGTGCCCTCTGTCAGCTCTGATCTATTCTCTGCCCTCAGGTGCTCATCTCCGAGGGTCTGGGCCTCTTTGCCCGAGACCCACACTTTGTGGCCCTGGCCAAGCAGGAGATTGCAGATGCATGTCGCCTGACACTGGATGAGATGGACAGTGCTGCCAGTGACCTGCTGGCACAGGGGACAAGCTCATTTTATAGTGATGAGGAGTCCATCCGCTCCCGCTTTGATGAGGAGGACCTGAGAGATGAGATGGCCTGCATCCATGGCCTCTGAATTCCTATCCCTCCTCCACTGCTCAATAAACCTCCTGCTTTCCCTTCCTCAGAGGATGACAAGCATGGACCACACCCTTGGATTTTGGTGTCTTTGCACTAGGGGCCTAGGGCTTCCCAACAGCCCCCATCCATCCATCCCCATTTCAGTGCTGAGCCACTGCCCACACATGGGTATTTCCAGAAACCAGGACAGCCAGGTCTGATTATTCAGTGTCAGTGAAGGAGGGAGGAGGAGGAGGAAGAGACAGCAGCCAAAAAAAGCTGGAGACAGAGTGGAGGTGGTGGGGGAGGGGGACGGCACTGGACAGAGATGGAGGAAAGAGGAGAGAGGGGCCTTGGAAGAGGAGTGGGGTAAAGTCAGAGATTCCACAAGGGGTCAGTCAGGTCAAATTGAGGAAAGACAGACAAATGGGAAAAAAAGGATAAGGAAACCCAAAGAAGAGTCCTGCCAGTAGAAAGGCCTGGAGGTTGGAATTAGCCTGGTATGTGATGTGTCAGGCAAAGGGGTCCTCTGATGGTATTGGGAATTTCAGGAAGGCTAAATTGGGATCACCCTGTCTCCTATCTCCCACCTTCTGCCTAAGAAAATGAAAATCTAAATCCACTGGCAGAAGACAAGGGTGGGGCTCCCGGCCCAGGGAAACCCACTCAGGGCCCACCTAGCTTTCCTGAGATCAGCTAAGAATAACCCACTCTCCTTCCACACAAATCCCAGAGCTCTTCTTTCTGCTTCTTGCCTCACCTTTAGTCATTGCCCAACCTTTGGGGTCTCATTCATTCAGTGAGTATTTACCTGGCATTTACTTTGTGCCAGGCACTGTTCTAGGTTTCTCTCAAAGCAAACTGAGCTGGCTTAGACATGTAACAGGACTTGCCCAAAATAGTAGTCAGCCCCAATCCAACAGAATTGGAGGCAGTGCTGGGAGTGGCATGGGATGGGACTACCACTGAGGAGGGTCTGACCTAGGGTCTCATCTCTCAGAGTAGGGGTTTCACATTTGTATAATTTATGTCAGTTGAGCCAGTACTGAAATTTGAGGAAAGCCAGAATTGGAGACTGGAACTCAGAATATAGAGTTGCACTAGGCCTTGAAACAAAGGCTTAGAGTGGTTCAGTTAGTGTAATGTAGGAACAGCAAGTTATGTACAGGATGTAGAGAGTGAAAGGAGACTGTTGAGGGATGAGGTGGGAAAGGCCACCTGAGGCCAGATGATGCAGAGCCTTTCAATGCCAGGCCCCAAACCCTGGGACTTTTCCTAAAAGCAGTGGAAGCCATGGGAGGGATCTGAGCAGGGTAGTGACATAGTTAACTTTGTATTTTAAATAGATGCTCTGATGGCTGTGCGGAAAACAGAAGGGAGGGGGAAGGGACTGGAGATGCTAAAATTGGCAGGAACAATGGTCGCCTTAGCCAAGGGAGGTGGCAGAGGAGATGGTGAGAAGTGAGTGGATTCCAGAGATGTGTGGGAGGTAAAATGAACCATTTATTTGGCTCTGTGCTAAATGCATTACAGTGATCATCTTGTTTAATCACTGCAACAATCTTATAGGTACCATTTAAAACAATCTTACATGTCCAAAGTCAGACAGGAATATTAGAGGTAGAATTTAAATTCAAGCAATTGAATGTCAAAACCAATGCTTTTCCCCTAGTAAGGCAATAACTGGGAACTATCCATTACATATTTGTGTGAATTTGAGTGTGTGTGTGTGTGTGTGTGTTTCAAAGAAATAAGTATACATTCAGATGATTCAAAATTCAAAAGGTACAAAGGGTATTCAATGAAAAATTTCCCTTCCGTCTGGAGGCAATCAGTATTATCAGATATCTTTTATATGTGTATAGGACACTATACTGATAGGTTAGCACAGTGGCTAACAGGTATTGGAACCAGAATTTCTGGGTTCAAATCTTAGTTCCACCATTTACCAGCTCTGTGACCTTAGGAAAATTCTTTTGCCTCTCTGCACCTTAGTTTATTCACCTGTAAAAGAATAGTAGTAGTACCTCCCTCATAGGGTTGCTGTGAGGGTTTATATGAATGATGTATGTTAAGCTTTCAAAACAGTGCTTGATATAGAACAGCCATAATTTAAAATGTTAGCTATTGTCTATTCTATAATTATGATATAATCCTTCCCTTCTCTTTGTACACAATTCCCGCACAGTTTGGCATCTTGCATGTCTTAACTAAATATCTTGGTGATCATTACATATCTCCATATTATTATTGACAGTTGCCTAGTACTCCATTTTGTAGCGATGTCAGAGTTTATTTAAATAGGCCACCCTAACAGGCACTTAGGGTGTAACTGCTCTTTCTTATTATAAACAGTGCCGCAGTGTATCATCTTATACATACATCTTTTAGCACATGTATGACTCTATCTGTAAGGAATTCCTAGAAGTGTAAATGCTGAGCCAAAGAGTATATAGATTTTTTAGTTTGCTAGATTTTGCCCAATTGCCCTGTATGGAGGTTATACCAATTTAACTTTCACTGGCAACTTATGAGAATGCTGCCAATATTGCGCATTATCAAACTTTAATGTTCACCACCCTCAAAGATGAAAAACAGTATCTTAGTAGTTTTTATAGGCATTTCTTTTAGTATGAGTGAAGTTGAGCATCTCGAATTCCAATTATATTTATCCTTTGGATTTGCAACATGGCAATCACCACTGACCTCAATAGGACTAGTTTTAGTAGCACGAAAGAGGGGTAATTCAATTGAGAGGGCTGAGGAATAAACGGGATGTAAAGTGTAGAGTTAGAATAGGCAAGAATTTGACTTAAGAAGAAATAAGGGAGATGTCTGGAAAGGGGGTGAGAGGGGTTTTTAAGATGTGCTTAAAATGCACATGAGAAGAAACCCTCAAGACCTTGAACTATGCTTAAATTGCAGGGACTTTGGCCCTGCCAAGTACTAGCTGGGCCGCCTTGTGCAAGTCACTTACCCTCTCCCGGGACTCATTTTCCTCATCTGTAAAAATGGAGCTAATTAATAGTCTGTACCACATAAAGCTGTTGTAAGGATTAAATGAACACATTCAACAAACTCAGTAAAGGGCCTAGCAAAATGTCGTACTGTAGGACCCAATAGTCCTCCTCTCCCCAGACCTCTCTAGCTGCGTTCTCAGAGAGCAGAATCCTCCTAGAAGGTTTTCACAGATGCAGCCTTCAAGATGGAATGGCCGACAGTGCTTTAGGAACTGCCGCTATACGCAGGCGCGCGCGGCCAGCGAGGCGGGGGCGCGAGGGGCGGAGCTGCGGCCGTCTGGATTGTTCCGACGACTGCGCCCCCACCCACCGCGCCCGCCCTTGCTAACAGGCTCCTCCCGCCCCCTGCATTGCTGATGCTGCTGCTGGCCGACATGGACGTGGTGAATCAGGTACGCGTTCCAGCACCGCGGACAGAGCCCTCTGCGGCCTGGCTTTCCCACCCGAGTTGCAGCGGATCTCCGGACTCTGAGAGGTGGTTGGCCAGGGTCCTGGCAGCGGACACCTGATCCCAGGCGCTGGGGCTGGGGTCTGCGGCAGATGAGGGGAGGAAGGGGGAGGTGGGGAAAAGGAGTGCGCCCTTTGCCGCGGCAAGGGCCGTCCTTACTGCCGCAGCGGGGGCCGCCACAAGCCCAGTTCCTTACTGGCGACCGCAAAGGGAGGAGGAGGGAGTCTTGGGGCTAGGGTACGGGCAAGGGGGGGAAGAGAGGGGAGAGTGTTAGGAAGATTGGGGGTTACTGCAGATGAGCTAGGAAATAGAGCGACAGAAGGCGTGAGGGCGGGGGGGGGTGTGGGGGGATGGTTATCACCTGCCCCTCCCAAACACAGACAGTACCCCGGTCGACGACCTCCCCTTCTCCCAGAGCGGACCAAGAAGGTCGATCAGGTTTTGCCTTTCCAAAACCCTTAGTCTCCCCTACCCCAGCACATATCCAATGAAGTTATATCCCAGCCTTCCCGCACCTTAATCAGCCCAGACCCTCTCTGCCATCTCACTCTTCTTCACCACCTCAGGACCTCACCCGCTCTCTAAGCAGTACCAACGCCTCCCCATTCTCATCACCTCAGACCCCTCATCACCACCATCTGACTCACGTTTACCGCTGCAGACCCCTCCCCCACCGTCCTCAACCCAACTCCCTCCCACTATGACTCACCTTCATCACTCAAGACCTCCTTCCCACCCTAGTGAACCCCGACTCCTTCCTCACTCCCTCCACCCGATCCCCTTCGCCATCTGACTTACCTTTAGCATTTCAGACCTCCCTTTCCTTAACTCATCCTGACTCCACCCCCATCTTCCTTATCCCTGACCCCCTCTGCCATCTTTCTTACCATCTCCCCAAATCTCCCCACCAGTTCTAAACCCCGGGGGTCTTTTCTCAGAGACCCTGTTCCCACACCTTCCCAGAAGTGTCACTTTCTCATTCTCACCCCTTCTCCAAATGAAACGTCTTTACTCCCTCCCGGAGGTCACATGCCTTATCCCCAGAGGTCATCACCTGGAGCCTCTCGCTCCTCACCTCCCTCTCCGTTCCCAACAACCCCACCCCTTCCCCACCGATTTTCTCCTCAGCTGGTGGCCGGGGGTCAGTTCCGGGTGGTCAAGGAGCCCCTTGGCTTCGTGAAAGTGCTGCAATGGGTGAGTGTGGTCTGGGCTGTGGGGAAAGAGAGGTAGGTAGGTAGCAGGGTCCGGAATAGTAGAGTGGACTAGGGGTGGGAAGCAAGGAATGAATGGGTGGTTTGGGGTGGAAGGGGACTCCAGGATGAAGTCCCAGGGTCTTGGGACCAGAGAATGAATGGGCTGTAAAGTGACGTCACATAAGGCCAAGGATACCCCCCGTTGTGAAGTGGAAGACTATGACATCCTACTTCCTCTCCTGAGGTGACAGAGAGGCAGAGGAGTGGAGCCTGAAGCCGGTTGCTGTGGGAGAGATGCAAAGCCAAGAGAAAACTAGAGACAGCGAAAAAGACAGAATGAGAGACAGGGAATGATGGAGACAGATAGAAATACCAAGGAAAAGAGACCAATATTAGAGAGAGGAGAGAAACAGAAAGAGACAGAGAAAGATGCACAGAGAACAGAGATGCAAAGAAAAATAGACAGAAAGAGAGGCAGAAAAAAACGGGGTGGGGGAGAGAAAGAGACAGAGAAAAAGAGATACTCAGAGAAAAGAGAAAAAGAGAGACTGATACACAGAGAAAGAGAGGCACAAGGGAGACAGAGCACCATACAGAGACCTGTGAGAGACAGAGCAGGGAGATAGAGACAGGCAGACCAAGAAACAGAAAGACATAGAGAGAGACATACATTCACACAGAGAGAAACAGAGAAAAAAGAGACAGAAAGAGACACAGAGATACTAGAAAGGCAGAGAGAGAAACAGAGATACAGAGAGACAAAGAGACATCTGAAGAAGACAAAGTCACATAAAGAAACAGAGACAGAGAGATACCAAGAGAAATAGAGACACAGAGACTAACAGAGACAGACAGAAATACAGAGAGAGACATAGAAATAGAGGGACTGAGACAGAAGAGAGAGAGAAAGAGGGGGCCAGAGCATTGAGAGGTAGAGACAGAGAGAAACATTAGAAGAAAGACAGGAAGAGACAGCCACACCCCTGTAATCAGCTTGTCCTTGGACCCGATGAGCCCTGATTAGGGGGTGGGGGTGGGGACAGGCCCATCTGCTGCTGCCTGTGCTGGGCCCTGATCTGTCCAGAGGAGGGCACCCCCGTCCTATGTGCACATAAGCTCACTGTGGCCATTCCCATCCCTACTGCCCAAGGTTTTTGCCATCTTCGCCTTTGCCACATGCGGCAGTTACAGTGGGGAGCTCCAGCTGAGTGTGGATTGTGCCAACAAGACCCACAGTAACCTCAGCATCTGGGTCGAATTCGAGTACCCCTTCAGGTGTGCCCCCACCCTAGCCCACCCCTGGAACCCCAACAGACCTGAGAGAGGGTGGGGGTGGGGTGGGACTTCCCAACACCTCCCCAGTGGCTCCTGCTCAGTCTCTACCTCAGGAGACCACAGCCATTCAGGTCACTACACATGCACTGAGCACCTACCTTGTGCCTGGCACTGTTCTGGACATCTAGGACATGTGATGAGCAAGACAGGCACAGGCCATTGCCCTCTGGCTTTTGTCTAGTGAAGGGGAGGTGCAGGAGATGGGCAATAAACAAGGTTCAAAAGTGAAAGTATATAAGTAGATATAGCCTTAATGAAGTAGGTACTCAACTAATGTTAGCCAATATTATTATTTAATTCCCATTCATTCATTTCCATACACATTTTTTGAGAATCTGTTGTATGCCAGGTACTGCTCAAAGTGCTGGGAACATAACTGTGAAAAAAAAAAAACTCAAAAACGAACAAACAAACAGACCAAGCTCCCTACCCTCATGGAGCCAACATTATAATAAATTAATTAATTAAGAGGATAATTGCAGATTGAGAGAAATTCATGAAGAGGATCCTCATGCAGGGTTTTATGATAGAGAATAATGAGAGGATGCTGTTTAGCTATAAGGAACAACTAAAGCCAGTTAAACGGTTCTGATATTTATTGAGCTCACACTCTGTGTTGGTTGTTAGGTGCACAAGAGTGAGCACAAGCAGGCAAGATCACTGCCCTTAAGGAGATGCTTACTTCCTGAGGAGTGGGGAGACAGAGACCCGCAGACACAATTTGAATAGAGGCTTCTGAGGCTCCTCCATTACTTGGACAAGTCACATAACAGCTCTGGATCTCAATTTCTTTATCTGTAAAATATGATAATATTCACCTTACAGGGTTATGATGAATATTAAATGAATTAATACTTGTAAAGTGTTTAGCACCATGCTAGGCACACAATAAGCACTCCATAAGTGTTTGTTAACATAAGAAAAATAAATAAGTTTAAGGGACTCAGGAAAGAGGTCACTAATTGAGTTGGAAATTGGGGGATTTTTGAGCACTAAGGGTAAATGGATGCTCAGGAGATCACTCAGGGTGAGAGGGCAGAGCGAAGAGAGGAAAGCCCAGCACAGGCCCTGAAAAATGGTTGAAAAGAAAAGGAGGTGCTAGGGAGATGTGGCCTGAGAAGCAGAGGGGCAACCAAGGATCTACTGGTTCACAGAAGCCAGGGAAGAGAGTTTGAGGAAGTAGAGAGAGCTGGAAGCATGGGATGCTGCCAAGAGCAAGTCCTTTGGGAATCCATAAGACCACAAAAATTTGTGGACCTCCCCCCAACACCTCCCATGCCTTGGACCTCAGGTCCTAAGGATCTGCCTTTTACCCACAAGTTCTCCAGGAAAACGTCTATGCCCTGGGTTCCCCTGACCAATCCACCCACTACCCCAAAACTCCCTTTAAGGGCCTTTCATTCCCCAATGGATACATTCTCTCTCAATCCAGCATGCTAGAAACCCAGAAACTCAAACTGAAATTCAATTCCTAGCTCCAACATTTAGCAGCTCCACAATCTTGAGCAAGTAACTTAATCTTGCTGAGCCTCTGTTTGTTCATCTGTAAAAATGGGTATAATAATGCCTGCTTTAGAAAATTGTGGGTGGGAGTCATTAAATGAGGCAATTATGTAAGTGGTTAGTAGAGAATCAGTACATGTAAGCCTTGGGACCTTTGCTACAAAAGGGCACTGGCACTATTTGCTCACTCTCAGGATCCTATCCCCCGACCTGAACCAAGAGCTCTGGGACCCCAGCCGTCTTCTCCACACACATTTTCTCCCTATGATCTTTCCTCTATCACACCACAAGAAAGGCCTTAGCCTCGATGCCTTCCCAATCTGCGCCACACCCCCGCCATATACACATCCTGTTCCAGGATCCCTTCTACACCCCATCTGTCTGTCTTTTCCTATTTTATAGTCTCTGAGCTCTCCTCTGCTAAGCATATGCTTCTTTCTCTTGTATATCTGAAGTAAGATAGGGAGAAGAGTCAATACCTAGAGGGAAAACACAGGGTTCAGATCCCAACTCTGGTATTCTGTCGCCAGTTGTGTGACTTTAGGAAAGTCAATGCACTTCACTGAGCCTCTGTTTCTGCCTCTGTACATTTTATTTAATAAACATTTATTGAGTGCCTACTATGGCAGCACAGTGTCAGGCCCTAAAGACACTGCAGTGAACAAAACAAAGGGAAAGCCCTACCTTATTGTAGTTACAGCAAAATCAAGAAAATAAAAGTTATGTCAGTTGGGGTATCACTGCTACAGTGAAAAGTGGACCAAGGAAGGGGGCTAAGGGGTGGTAGGAGGGAACAATTGGGTTTAATTTTAGATAGTAAGATCAGGGAAGTCTTCATTGAGAAGGGGACAATTGAGCAAAGCTTGAAAGAGATGAAGAGTGTAAGATATAAAGCTATCTAGAAGAGCATTCTAGTGCAAAGATCCTGGGGTGGGAGAGTGCTTGGTGTGTTCTGTGAATAACCAAGGGGCCAAGGTGGCTGGATTAGAGTAAGGGATGAATAAGATTTATTTCATGAGGATGCGATGAGCAATCAATGATATGCGACTGGTACACAGTAGGTGCTCTGTGGATGGTATTTCCTCCTCTTCCTGGGACCTTATCAATTTGGGAGACTCATGAGTGGGCAGCGGGGAGGGAGTTCTTAAGGTCTGGGCCACACCTGCCCACCTCTCTCTGCAGGCTGCACCAAGTGTACTTTGATGCACCCGACTGCAAAGGGGGCACTTCCAAAGTCTTCCTACTGGGGGACTACTCCTCATCAGCCGAATTCTTTGTCACCGTGGCTGTGTTTGCTTTCCTCTACTCCATGGGGGCTTTGGCCACCTACATCTTTCTGCAGAACAAGTACCGAGAGAACAACAAAGGGCCCATGCTGGTGAGCCCCCACAGCCACTTGCATGCAGGGGCCAGGGGACATGGAGCCTCGGGGAGACAGTCATGTTCATAGGCCACACCAAATCCCAGACAGGCGTACATGCAAGCAACCACCAGAACAGCCACACATGTTACTGCTGCTGTTGCTGTTGCTATGAGCATCAGGAATACCAAATCATAGAGTGACATGGACACACTATCACACTATGACAGGGACACAAATCATAGCCCACACAGAATCCCAGACAGGCCTACACCTGGAAACCTGCCACCTCTCACACAACCACACAGTCTAGATCAAAGAAAAGAGCACACAGAGGTTCACTATGACAGTCATGCTTGTCATGCCACACAGACAAACTGATTCCTACACAGCTGTACTGATACATCCTCATCCCAGACTCAAAATGACACATTCAGAAGAAAGTGGAAAGACAGTACTTTCCACTGATTTGGCAATCATCCCACAGAACCGCCCCCCCCCCGACACACACACACACCCATACCCACATATCGCAAACACATTCCCACATCCTCTGTGTCACATACACAAGCCCAAACTAAAAGAGCTACCTTCGAGTGATTGTTGGGGACAAGGCAGGGGAGAGACAGACCTCTTCTGGGGACCCCCTCCCCTAGAAAGGCCTCACACCCTGGCATCAAGCAGCCCATTCACAATGCCATCTTGCTCTCCCCTGCCCATCCTAGGACTTCCTGGCCACGGCAGTGTTTGCCTTCATGTGGCTGGTTAGCTCATCAGCATGGGCCAAGGGGCTGTCAGACGTGAAAATGGCCACAGACCCAGAAACCGTTATCAAGGGGATACCTAGCTGCCACCTGAAGGAGAATACATGCAAGGAGATAAGAGACCCTGTGACCTCTGGCCTCAACACCTCGGTGGTAAGCCCTGGGAAGCTGGCTAGGCTGGCTGGGGAGGGAGACTGGGTCATTTACAGTCTGGCACAGGGAGTGGTGGAGAGAGAGAATGAGAGGAGAATTCAGAGGAAATCCAAGAGGGTTCCTCGGAAAAGGCATGCCAACAACAAAGCCTTGAAGGATTGGATAGCAATTGTAACCACGTGACACCACAAACTGTCCCCAAGAGGGAACTTGAAATCTTCTGCCTAGTTAGGTTTGGGATACCTGGATCCCAGGCCCAGCCTAGTCACATAAAAACTCTGGCAACTCAGTACCTTCTTGGGACCTCAGTTTTCTTATATACAATGTGAATGAATAACTTAGAGAATTTCCCGCCTGGATGCCCTCTACTGTTCGGACTCTGAGCTCAAATCCTAGTTCTGCCACTTACAAGCTGTTACCTGAACCTAGTTATTCTGCTTCTCAGGCCTCAGTATGAGCATGTAAATCGAAAACTTAGAATAGGTCGTTCCAAAGTTGAGTATTTGTGAGCTACTAACATACAAAGTGCTTAGAAAAGGGCCTGGCATATGGTAAGTTGTATACAAATGTTACGGATATTAAGATTCCAACTCACTCTGTCACTTGCTGACTGTGAGACTTAGGCTACTTAGTCCCTCTGGGCCTCAGTTCTCTCAACTATAAAGTGGAGATATTACTTCCTGTCCAAAAGTTGAATTAAATTGTATATATTTTACATACATATAAAACATTTTTGTATTTATAAAGCATGTACTCATTTTAATGTCAATGTATTTATATACTATATACTGTATAACTACATGTGTAGTTATACACATTTGTGTACACCTATCTGTGTTCTTATGGATCTATTAATGGACATTTACAAATTTCATCAAAGTTTATGCTTAACATTTTACTATATTGCAAATTAAGATTTACTATATTTTATACATGTATAATGTGTATATGTAACATGTAGATGTGCAAATATATCAACGCACATATAACAGTATTACTAGATTTCAACATCCCTGGGAATCTGAATTCTAACACGCCCTGCCTCGCCCCGCAAGGTGATTTCTCTGCATATTGATGTTCATGCGCTGGGACTCGGAGGGTCCTGGTTTCAAAAACCATCACCCTTGGAGCCAGAGGATCCATGCCCAACTAGCGCGGCCTCGACGTTTCCCGGGACCGCCAAGGCAATGGGCGTGGGACGACAGCTGGGCTTTGTCTCCCCGCAGGTGTTCGGCTTCCTGAACCTGGTGCTCTGGGTCGGCAACCTGTGGTTCGTGTTCAAGGAGACAGGCTGGGCCGCCCCATTCCTGCGCGCGCCTCCCGGCGCCCCGGAGAAGCAACCGGCGCCCGGGGACGCCTACGGCGAGGCGGGCTACGGTCAGGGCCCCGGCGGGTACGGGCCCCAGGACTCCTACGGGCCCCAGGGCGGCTACCAGCCTGACTACGGGCAGCCCGCCGGTGGCGGTGGCGGTAGCTATGGGCCTCAGAACGAGTACGGGCAGCAAGGCTATGGCCCTCAGGGTGCGCCCACCTCCTTCTCCAATCAGATGTAGTCTGGTGAGTGACGGATGGGCGGTGTGGCCAAGAAGGGTACTTGAAAGGAGATGGGCGGGTCAGTGAACCAATAAGAGTCTGGTGTAAATAGTACGTGAGACGCTAGCCGCAAGTAAGGGTGGGAGTTTGAAGGAACCAATAGAGAGGCGGAGCTACATGCTAAGAGCAAAAACCTATCCAATGAATGGAGAGCAGGAAAGTGGTGCTTGTAGGTGGGCAGAATAAAGAGCCAATAGGAAAGGTAGTGTGGCTCTGCGGAAAGGGTGGGGAGAGAGAAACGGGCAAAACAATCGAAGAAAGGAGGGAATAGCAGGTGTACCCACGTAATGAAGAATCAGCGGAGCACTGGAGCAGTAGAGGGAAGTGGAAGTGATCTATTTGATCGATAAGGCAGTATGTTATAAGGCCACTGGATGGTGGGTAAATGGTCTTGGGCCATGAAGGTTAGACAAGCTCAGCAATTGGGAGTGGGCATTGGGATAGATCTGCTACCTCTCCTCAAGTCTCAAGGTGAAGGAGGTGGTGTGGAATTTCAAAGAAGGAAAAGGGGCAGGACAGGGACATTGGAAAGGCTTGCTGGCCTTCTTGCCAGACCTGAAAAGAGAAGTAAGATTGCCCTTTCATATGGGGGTTAGGGGTATATGGGGAGAAGAGGCAGGGAGATTGCGTGAGAGGGGAAAGGCGAGGAAGTGGCAACATGTAGCTGGAGGTAGCTCTGGCACTTGGCCAGGATGGGAAGGGCAGGGAGGAGTTTATTACGCATCTCACATCTAATTCCCCCCAAAATCCTGTTGGCTCCATCTTCAGAATATATCCATAATCTTCCCACTTCTCACTGTTATATACCCTGGACATTTTAACAGGTTTCCACCTCCATTCCTGTTCTGTTCTATGCACAGCATTGAGAGGGATCCCATTAAATCCTAAATCAGGCCACCGTCCTCCTGTGCTCAGAGCCCTGCCAGGGCTCCCATCTCACTCAGATTGAAAGCCAAAGCCTTCACAGGGCCTACACAATCTAGCCCCTTGACCTCTCACCCCCTACCACCCCACTCCACCCCATCCACACACACCCTGTTCCAGCCACACTGGCTACCTGGATGTACCAGGTGCAGTACAATTTCAAGGTCTCAGTACTTGCTTTACCCCCGGAGTTTCACAATGACACACACTAATAACCTCACCTGGCCAGCTCCTTACATCCACTTTCTTATCTCTCTAATAGTACCCTGTGTTTTTCTTACTACAGTCTGTAATTATTAGTTTATATGTTTATTGACTGTCTCTCTCACTAGACTAGGGGATATGACCATGAAATTATTCATGCTGTATACACATCACTTAGAGCAGAGGTCCCCAACCCCCTGGGCTGCGGACCGGTTCTGGTCCGTGGCCTATGAGGAACTAGGCCGCACAGCAGGAGGTGAGCAACCAGCGGGCAAGCGAGCGAAACTTTATCTGTATTTACAGCTGCTCCCCTACGCTATCTATCATCACTGCCTCAGTTCCACCTCATCATCAGGCATTAGATTCTCATAGGAGCACTGGTCCCTGGTGCCAAAAAGGTTGGGAAACACTGACTTAGAGCATTGCTCATGTTAAGAAATATTTATCGAGGAAATGATGGAACAACATGAGACTTTTTACTCTCATTTTACTCTTCTCTGTTCAGAATCTTCCCATGACTTATACCTCATTCAAAGTCAAAGGTGAAGTCCTCACAATCTAGTCCACCAGGCCCTATGTGACCCCATTACCTACCTCTCTGACATCACCTCCCACCACTTTCCCTTGCTCATTCCACTCAAGCCCCACTGCCCTCCTTGCTGTTCCTCAAACACAGTAAACATGATCCCACCCCAGGACCTTTGCACTCGCTATACCCCCTGCCTGGAAAGCTCTTCCCCTTAGTTATCTGCATGGCTCATTCCCTCACCTCCTTAACTCTTTACTCCGGTGTCACTTCAAATGAGTTCTCTGACTACCCTACTTACTAAAACCACCTCCCTTCCCCTACTGGCGCTCTTAATCCCCTTTCCCTGGTCTACTTCTTGTTTTTCCATTTCATTTATCACCTTATGTTATGCTAGATGAATTTATACATTATGGTGATTATTCGAAGTCTTTCTCTCCTGCTACAATGTAAGCTGCACAAAGATGAGAATCTTCGTTTGGCTCAATATAATTTATTACCAATGACCAGAACAGTTCCTATTAATGAATTTCTTTGGGTTGGGGGAGTGGGGACCATAATTTCTTCAGCACTTAACCTAGTGGGGCAAGGTATATCTTCCCAGTAGGGGCAGCTGGGATGAAGCTGACTCCAGGACTCCGAGTGAAGGAAAAAGGAAGAAAAGGCATGCCAGGCAGGGGGTAAAGCCAGGGTGAAGGCATAGCAGCCTAGCCCCTCCCTAAGGGCACCATCTGTGTCTAGACCTCCTCTCCTTTCTGTATCTTTTATCTCCACAGGTCGGTGCAGCCTAGGAGGACCCCAAGGGTGGGCAAGAGCTCAGGAGAAGGCCTGCCCCCATTCCCACCCCTACATCCCAGGTCTCCACCCCTCAAGCCAGGAGACCCTAACTGTCTTTGCTGTATATAT